GCACCAGAATTAAAAGAAAGGAACCCTGTGTTACTGGCTGATGTGTCTGTGAAAACCATATAGTGACGGCTCTACAATCCCTTGAAATTTTCCCACCGCATCGCTCGCAAGAAACTAATTGTCACCCTTAAACAGAGGCAAAATAGGGTTGCTTTTTGCAAGAAATATCTTCAGTGGGATGAGGACAAGTGGAAACGAGTGTTATGGAGTGATGATGAGTGTAACTGGAAAAAGAGACGGCAAAGTTTATCACCGCCCTGAAAGTGATCCATGTGACCCTAGATTCAGCCAAGGGACTGAAATATTCAGATAAATTGATGTCGTGGGATGCCTTTGGTTACCACGGTGTGGGGACATTGGTAATACTACCAAGGAATGTTTTGATGAATGCAGACAGATATTTAGAGCTACTGAGTGACAATTCGGAAGATTGCTTTGAGAAGGGCCAAATAGACGTTTTTATGCAGGAAGATGCACCTTGCCATAAGGCAAAGCTTTAAATCCTATTGAAAACTTGTGGGCACTAATGAAAAACAGATTAAGTGTGCATGATAGCTCATCAGTCCCCAAGCTTGAGGCAGCCATCACAACACACTGGCCAAAAACAGCAACAGAACTCAGGCAAAATGCTAGGCGATTCACGAAAAAAGCACGAAGCAATTTCGCTCACTGTCACTGCCCAGAGATAATTGAGTGATATCTGAAACTGACAATGTGGAGTCAGATGAGTAATCTATCAGCTGATGGTGCATCAAGATTATGGGTCGATTTGCATAATATTAGAGGGGTATTACAAAAAAAAAAAATCTTGTCGCAGTCCCTCTCGTGCACTGTATATATATATATATAATATAAATATATATATATATATATATATATATATATATATACATATATATATATATATATATATAGATATATATATATATATATATATATATACATATATAATATATATATATATACATATATATATATATATACATATATATATATATATATATACATATATATATATATACATATTATATATACATATATATATATATATATATATATATATATATAATATATACATATATATATATATACACATTATATATATACACACACACACACACACACATTATATATTATATATATATATATATATATATATATATATATATATAATATATATATATATATATGTGTGTCTGTGTGTGTATATATATAATGTGTGTATATATAAATGTGTGTATATATATATATGTATATATATATATATATATATATATATATATATATATATATATATATATATATATATATATATGTATAATATATATATATAATATATATATATATATATATATATGTATATATATATATATATATATATATATATATATATATGTATATATATATATATATATATATATATATATATATATATATATATATAATGTATGGATATACCTGCATATCTATTATTTTTTCAATTATAGAAAAAATATATATATTCATATATGTATACATGTATAAACTTATGTATATATGTATCTAGATTAGTGGATATAATACTTTTAATAATGTATCATAAATAATGAAAGGAAAAACACACTACTGTGTTGATACTATGGTAGTAAAACCCACAATGCACAATCTAAATTATTGCAGAAAGTGAGACAACAGTTTCTGAATCGTCCTCGACTCCATCTTCGGGTCTGAAGATGGAATTGAGGACGATTCCAAAACTGTTGTCTCACTTTCTGCAAATAAGTATTGTGCATTGTGTGTTTTACTATCATCTTAAATAATATTCATGCCAGTATAATGTGTCTGTATGATTTGTATTATATGCATTCAGGAATGTTTGTATACATACCTGTGCACACGCTGAGGCACTTGCACACACAATTGTTAGTTAATGCTTAAATGATAAAACTTCATGCACAATATCATAGAAATGGAAAATATCTTTAAGTTTTATTATGCATAGAACTTGATTCACGTTTCCAGTTGTGAAAAGAAGAAATAGTTATTTTTGAAATTTGAGCATTTGAAATACAACCTTGATATAGAGTTTTCTCCAAATGCTTCCAATGTTGTAAGTTGTAAGATTACAACCTGCCATTTTTATCAATTTCGTGGACACTTAAGGCTCAACTGCATATCATCCACTATGCTTGAATACCTTGTATGTAATCTAAGAAATAGTTCATGTGATTCTAGAATTTCAGATATCAAGAAATATAGGAGAATAGACCTATGGAAAAGAAGAGATCATCACTGATAACTCTGATAAAACAATATATATATAAAAAAGTAAAAATAAAATTCATGCAGAGCCAAAATCATGAAAATAAATAACAATCAAAAGTGAATTACAAAAGGCAGGAGGGCTAATGCCAAGGTCATAAATGAAGGAGAGCCTACAAAAGATAGTACAAAGCATTACTTGAAATGTATTTATTCATACCACTGTCATACATCATGGTAAAAACAATTGTTGTACATA